GAATTGCAGATTTTAGTGTCAAAAAGCACCCTTGTTTGTCACATTCAGTGTTTGGCTTGAATTCTGCTTTGTCTGATATAAGAAACACTACCCCTCTCCCGATTTCTTATTGTTTCCATTTGCCTTGTAAGTCTTTATCCCTTCTTTTATTTTTGGCTTTTTTCAATCATTTTGCTCTCTGTGGTCTGTTGCCTGCAGCATATGATTGGTTCTTGCTTTGTGAGTCAAATTGAAAAGTTTCTTCTTTTAATGGATAAATTAAGCCCATTCACATTTATTGATCTAACTGACATGCTTGCCTCAATTTAGTTATATCTTACAATTATGTATACAATGTTATATTTTATGTTTCCTTCTCTACAAGATGGGCTTTCTCTGCTTACTTTTTAAATTTACTTATTTATTTTAGCATTCAAAGAGGTTTGTATTTTTTCTACAAGTACCTTTGTACTTATACCTTTTTGAAACTTTTTATTTTGAAGTAATTACAGAATCAAAAGAAGTTTCAAAAACAGTACAGTATTTTACCCATCACATAACTTCCCCAAACAGTAATGTTTGCATAATGTTAGTACCTATACCTTTTAAAAATTGCTTATGGGCACATTGACACAGAATTATCTAAGTCCTGGTTTGTTTAAAACTTTTTCTTTTTCCGTAACCTTGATATTTAAAGACTAGTTTCACTGGATATAAAATTCTTGGCTCACACTCTCTTTCCTAAGTTTCTTGAAAATGCTACTTCATTGTTGGCTTCCTTGCTTTGTATGTTGTTTTGGAAAGCCTGGCACCAGGTTAATTAATTTACCTTCACAGGTTATTTGATCTTTTTGCTTAGAGGTCTTGAGGATATATTTTCTTTATCTTTCATGTCTAATAGTTTTACTAGGATATGCCTTGGATTGATCAGTTTGGTTAATTTTCCTAGGAACCCAGTGAGACCTTTCAATGTGTGGACTGAGGTCTTTAATTTTGGAAAATTTTCTTGGATTATAGGTTTAAATCTTTTAAATATTAATTCTGTTCCATTGTTTTGCTTTTCTTTCCCAGTGATTCCAATTTTACAACTGCTATTCCTTTTTTGCTTGTCTTTCTGATCCTTTTTACTTCGTTCTAAATGTCATTTTCATTCTCTCAGTTATTTTTCTGCCTTTTTCCATGCATGTTATTAAATTTTCTTGAGTCCATTTTTGCTTGGGAACCTTTTAATTTATCCTCAGTTCTGAGATAATTTTATCTTTTTCTTCCATTTATTTTCATAGTTTGAGTAATTTTCTCCATTTTTTAGTCAATTTTTTGAAAGTCTGAATCAAGTCCTTGCTGGGATTTGTTTTTTTTTTCTTTTTTTTTTTTTAACTTAGAGTTATATTGAGGTTTGGGTATTTTTCTGTCTTCAAGTTATGTTTACCATGTGGTTTTAGTGCCTTTTAAAATGTGTTCTTGTTATTCTGTATTGTTTTTGGAGGAAATATTGGGAGACATAGACCAAGGCAACCACCATTGCCTTCAGCAACTGGAAGTCTTATTGAATAGTCTTTTTGAAGTTTCCTAACTTATGAAAACCAAATCTACCATCCCCTACTCTGCTGAATTCACAAGGTATTTTGTTCCTTACCTCAAGGCCCTTCCAGCTGTGTTGATCACAAAGCATATCTTGGAGGTGATCTTAGGTTTGTAACTTGTATAAAAGAAAGCCTATCCCCAGACACTTGGCTGCTCTACACTTACCTACTTCTTTATTATAAATGGCAGCCTTGTTTTAAAATTGTGCCCCCTCCACCAGAACTCACATGTTGAAACACTAACCCCCCAATGTGACTGTGTCTGGAGATGGGGCCTTTGGGAGATAATTAGGGTTAGATGAGGTCATGAAGGTGGAGACAACAGAGAGCTTGCTTCCTCTCTTTCTCCACCATGTGAGGATACAGTGAGAAGGCAGCTGTCTGCAAACCAGGGTGAGAGTTCTTGCCAGAATCTGACCATGTTGGCACTCTGATCTCAGACTTCTGCCTCCAGAATTATGAAAAATAAATGTCTGTTATTTAAGCCAGCCAGTTTATGGTATTTTGTTATGGCAGCCTGAGCAGACTAAGACAAATTTTGGTACTGAGAAGTGGGGTGCTGCCCTAACAAATAGCTAAGCATGTGGAAGCAACTTTGTAAGTGGGCAATGTATAGAGGCTGGAAGAGTTTTGAGGTGCATGCTAGAAATATGGACATTATAGGTGATTCTGGCGAGGGCTGGGCTCAGAAAGAAGAGAGAAGAGCAGTAGAGAAATATTCTGTCATCTTGGAGAATACACATATCATCGTGACAAGAATGTCACTAGAAATGTGAATGCTAAAGGTGCTTCTGGTGAGCTCTCACAAAGAAATGAGGAACATGTTATGGGACACTGGAGGAAAGGCCATCCTTTTCATAAAGTGTCGAAAAACACAGCTGAATTGTGTTCTAGTGTTTCGCCACTGATCAGAAATGCCACATTATCAGCTAGTAAGTTTTCATACATCTATGTTTAGAATCTCTATTCCACTACTATCTATGTTTGCACCAACATGTGATGCTTTCACAATTAGAAAAAATTTTCCTTTTTATTTTTTAAAATTTGACACTAATGAGTAAAAATTCCTTTTCTCATATTGGGTAATTTACATCAGTAGGGGAACAGGTTGCTGATGCTACGTTCATCCAGGACCATGCTTTGGAGTCATGTGTCTGCCCAAGTGGGAAAAAAGTTTAACTTCTCATAAAAACACATCTCTAAGAATTTTCACAGAGGTTGTGCTATGCAAAGGCTATATGACCAAGTGGAACTTGTTTGAGGTCAGGCTGGGGGAACACATAAGGATGTACTTCTGTTATGTAGCCTTGTGCTTACTCTTTTCATAACACATACGTATTGTAATTGCGCGTCTAATTGCCTGTCTCCATTATTGAAGTGCGTGTTTCATGAGAATAGGGACTGTTCCTTTGGCATGAAGTTGTTGTGAAGATTAAATAGCTAAATAATAATAACATAGTAAGTATTCAAGAAGTAGTTACTGAATTGAATTGTACTAATGTCATCTAAGAAGATAATAATCCTTTCGTCTAGGAGGGTAATTCTGAGCTGTATCAGTACCTATGAAGTTGGATAAGACTTACTTGCAGCTTTGCAATGACATGAAGACACTTTTAAGTATGGTGTAATCTGTAAAAGACTGCTTCTATTAATGAGTTTAAGGGCATGGTACTGAGAAACTCTGTTCTTTCTTTGTTTCTTTCTTTGTTTCTTTCTTTTTCCACACTGGGGGGCATGTGGGATCTTAGTTCCCCAAGCAGGGTTGAACCTGTGCCCCCTGCAGTGGAAGCAGGGAGTCTTAACCACTGAACCGCCAGGGAAGTCCCGAGAAACTTTGTTCTTTAAAATCATAGATCTTAAAAAACTTGACTCTTTGAAATCCTATCAGTGAGAATAAAAGGATCTGAGATGTTCAGAGAAGTCACAACCTTGCCATCTCGTCCAGGTACAATTGTCTCAGATCAGGGTCTTCCATCAAAGAGGGGACACAACATTATGTATTTATCTTAACTCTGGCTCCAAGGACAGTGCATTGAGCCCTTTCTATACCCAGGCCTGTTAACTCTTTTTGTTTTTTAATTTTATTGAAGTATAGTTGATTTACAATGCTGTGCTAGTTTCTGCTGTACAGCATAGTGACTCAGTTATACATACATGTATATACATATTCTTTTGCATTATGGTTTATCAAAGGATATTGAATATACTTCCCTGAGCTATATACAGTAGGACCTTGTTGTTTATCCATCCATCCGATATATAATAGTTTGCCTCTGCTAATCTCACACTCCCAATCATTCCCTCCCAAGCCCCCCTTTGGCAACCACAAGTCTGTTGTCTATGTCTGTGAGTCTGTTTCGTAGATATGTTGATTTATGTCGTATTTTAGATTCCACATATAAGTGATATCATATGATATTTGTCTTTCTCTTTCTGACTTACTTTGCTTAGTATGACAATCTCTAGGTCCATCCACATTGCTGCAAGTGACATTAGTTCATTCTTTTTTATGGCTGAGTAATATTCCACTATATCTATCTATATCTATACCTATATACACACACACACCACATCTTCTTTATCCATTCATCTGTTGATGGACATTTAGGTTGTTTCCATGTCTTGGCTATTGTGAATAGTGTTGCTATGAAAATAGGGGCGCATGTATCTTTTCAAATTAAAGTTCTGTCTGGGTACATGCCCAGGAGTGGGATTGCTGGATCATATGGCAACTCTGTTTTTAGTTTTTTTGAGGAACCTCCATACTGTTTTCCATAGTAGCTGTACCAACTTATATTCCCACCAACAGTGTAGGAGAGTTCCCTTTCCTCCACACCCTCTCCAGCATTTATTATTTGTAGACTTTTTAATGATGGCCATTCTGACCAGTGTGAGCTGGTACCTCATTGTAGTTTCGATTTGCATTTCTCTAATAATTAGCGATGATGAGCATTTTTTCGTGAGCCTGTTCCAGGCCTGTTAACTCTTTACTCATTGCCTTACTTTTCTTTGAACCTATGAAAACACTGCTTTATTTAAATTTTATCTAGGGACTTCCCTGGTGGTCCAGTGGTTAAGACTCTGAGCTTCCACTGCAGGGGGCATGGGTTCCATCCCTGGTTGGGGAACTAAAACCCACATGCCCCACAGCATGGCCAAAAAAATAAATAAATAAATTTTATGTAAATCCCACCAAGACCTCTAAAAACACCTATCTCTCTTTTTTGAGGCTGAACTTTGTTTCTCTTTTGAAGGAGCAAAAGTAAAGTTCAGTTTTTGTTTTCAGATTTGAGTGATTTGATTGTATTTTAACATGTATATTTGAGTACATATAGTAATGGAACATTTTAAATTCTGTAGAAAGATTTGTGATTATCCTTTAAGAATGGTTTACTTTACCCTTTAATGGACAGCAACAAGAACTTTTGGTCAGTCAAATTTCTTAGTAAAATTGTTTTAATGATTTAGATGTAAATATTTCTAAGGAACAGTTTGAGACTGTGACTGTATGTCATTTGTAACTTCAGCCATCTGTTGAGCTTGCACACATGATGCATTCCAGCGAAAGATATTGATACTTTCCATATCATTTAAGATCGCAGTGGTTGTGCCATGGGAATTAAAAGGCAAAATGAAAATATGAAGACCTTTAGAATACACAGTGAGCAGATAGTTTGGATTAACTAGATACAGAAAATATAGCATTCTTTTTCATAAGAAAGTTGGATAGAGGAAACCATATTTTCCATATTCTTATTTCCAAAAGATTTTCTAATATGATAACAAGTGAAAAGAGAGGTTTTTCTACTGAAAGAGCTGTCCTAACTCTTTTGCTTAGCCACACTTGCATAGGTATTTTCAATTTCTTTGTCTTCAGGACACGTGTGGGTAAATTCTTCACGGGCATAGGCATTGTGGAGATAGCGCCAGACTCCTGAGAATTCTCCTGGAATGTCGAAATCACGGTATTTCTTTGCAGCAACCTAAGGTTTTGGAAAAAAAGAGGAAAAAGCAATTGGTAGGGGCATCAGTAAAATGCCTAGTGTGTAAAAACATATGTCAAAAATTAGGATCATTGAGGACGTGTTACCTACACAAAAAGTACTACAAAATAAACTTAAAGAATCTTGGATTTACTATTTTAATGTTTTGTCTACAAATGTAGACAAAACTCCATGCTTGTAATCATTTTTATTATATTTATGGTGTATTTAATTATGAATGTTTAGAAGAAGGAAGCACAGAAAAAGAGCACAGATCTTTTCACTGTTTAGGGTTCGACAGTGTCTTACTTCTTTATGTATTCTTTGTGTCTGGCATAGGACCTGAGATAAAATAAGGTCTGTTCAATAAAAACTTGTTAAATGAACAATTAGTTAATAATAATATTAATAGCTCACTTTATTATCACTTGTTATGATCCAGACACTTTTCTAATATTCCATATGCCTTAATTTAATTTTCTCAACAGTTCTGTGAAATGGGTACTATTACCCTTGTTTTATAGACAAGACAGTGGAAAACACCTTCTGATTTAGGAAGAAAGAAACAAGAAGTTTTTATGCTTCCCAGAGAAGATCATTATGGATTTTTCCTCTGAGGAGAAAAAGGAGACATACCCTATGCATAATGATGATGACAAAGCCCTCATATAAAAACTCACACTGAATGGTCACTGTGCTTCCTGTTGGCAACTCCCGAACTCCTCTCAATCATTCAGCCTGCCCTATGAAGACTTACTTTAATAATGTTCAGTTTGGGTAACAAACTGCAGTCAGCCAGTGTCAGCTGATCCCCATCCAAGAACAATCTTCTGGAAACTGTGAGCTCCTCAGCACTGTCTGGATCAATTTCATCTAGAAGTGGGGTGTTCAAGTAGTCATCCAGACGCTTAAATTCTTTGAGCAGAGATTTTTCAAAATCTGAGGCAATGAAGTCAAAGGGTTGCTTATATATAAATGTGCAGTCTTCATGACTAAATACATTCCCAATATGCTTTTCACACATTTAGACATCTCTATATACTTAACTAGAATGCTCAACTACCCACTGATAAGACAGAATCAGATGTTTAATCAAATGGTGAGTAGACATATTTTTGGACTCTTCTTGAGGAGGTAAATTGGGAGGAGAGTCAAAGAAAAAGAAAGGTAATATATATTATCACTCAAGAAGAGTCAGAAAGTGGAATCAGAGACTAATAGCTCTCATGATTCAGAGAATAGTAAACCTATTCGAGAGTGTTTGTGAGAAATGGTAGGTGCTATGGTTTAAGAAACCTTAAAGGTACACAAGACTGGGAAAGTTGGGGGGGTTAAGAAATACAGTTCAGCAGTTAGTTCACCCCTGGCATGTCAATGTTCTAATAGAGCTAAGTTGGTGATTCCTATATTGAATATTAGATTCTAAATCCAATAAAACTTCATGCAAGGAATTTCAGAAGAGAGAACAGAGAGTGAGATGAAGAGTATTCCCCAATATATACTATATATTCAGGAAAGTCCTATTTTAGTTGAGTCAGAATATGAGAGTGAGCATGTGAGTGATAAAAACGAAAAGACTTAAAGAAAGGTATCTTACTCTTATTTGCCTCCTTTTGTGCGTTCTTAATGTATGCAGAAAACTTGGCAAAGAGGTTACAGCCCACATCAAAAGACTCCTTGTTCTTGGGACTCAGGTGAGGATACCTTAAAAAGAAACATCACTGCACATAACATTCACCCATAACAAGACGTAGACCTGGTGTCTTTGTTGCACTCTACTGAGAGAAGTTTTGGAAAATTGTGCTGGAAACTGAAGGTGCTGAGAAACCTTTCACTGGAAATATGTTTTTTTCCCACTCTGAGAATACTTTAGCTTCTAAAGTTCACAGGGAAACCAGCTGTTTGGAATTCAAAGCTCATTTATCTATAGAAACAATGTTTCAAATGGCTGTTGGGTCCCCATACTTGCTCCTAAAAGCCTGTTTGGCAGAAGATATGGTGGTAATACATTTTCAAAGATAAGTAGTAGGAAAAAACATGGCTTCAAATAACAAAATACATAAAAGAATAAAGAGGATGGAGAGGATGGGGGAAAAGTAGCCAAGATGTCCTCCTCTTAGTAATACAAAGTTAATTTAGCATAATAAATTAAAGTAATGTAATAATGTAATTTACCACATTAACAAATTAAATAAGGAAAACCGTATGGTCATGAATAGATGCCCCAAAAGTGTTCAGTGAAAATCAATTCCTATTCATAAAACCCCACACTAGCAACTAGAAATGGTTGAGCCAAACACTTAGCCATCTTCTTTGATCCCTCTTTCTCTCCATGCCCACATTTGATCCATTAGCAACTCCAGCCAGACTACCTTTCAAAATGTATCCAGAATCTGTCCACTACTCACCACCTCCACTGCTCCCTGCCTGGTCCAAAGCCTATATTACTGCAACACTTTTTGATTATCCCCCCTCTCCCATGCTTATCCCTCACACTCCCAGGATATTCTCCACCTGCTGCCAGAGCAGTCATGTTAAAACTTAAGTCATATCATTTCTCTTTCCTACTCATTACCTTGCAATGTCTCCATATCATTCACTCAGAGCCCAAGTCTTCACAGTGGTCTACAAGGGCCAGTGTGATCTGACCCAAGCTTACCTTCTGCTCTCATCTCTTCTTGCTCTCTTCCTTACTTCACTTCACACTGACCTCCTTGCTCTTCTTCAAATAGGCCTGACAAGCTCCCACCCCAGGTCCTTTTCACTTGGTCTGCCCCTAAATAAAGTGCTTTCCCTCATTTATGCACATGGCCCTCTCCCCCTCTTCTTTCAGGTATTTTAATCTGATATATCCTCCTAAGTGAGGACTTTCTCTGGCCACCTTATCGGACATTGCAACCTCTCCCCTGGCCCTAACACTCACTACTTCCCTCCCTTGCTTTACTTTTTCTTAGTATTTATCATCATCTAAAATAGTTTATATTTTGCTTTTTATCTTGCTTATTTGCTGTCTTCCTTAACTAAAATGTAAGCTCATCTAGGGCAGAGAGCTTTTGCCCATTTTATTCACTGATGTGTCCCAAGTGCCTAGAATAGTACCTGACACTTATTAAGTATTCAGTAAATATTTGTTAAATGAATTTATTAATTTCTTTAACTTGGTCAAAAGTATCCATCAAAAATTTTCAGCAAGCATCATTTTAAATGGTGAAATGTTAGCCCTATTTCCTTTAAAATCAGTAAATGATGAAGATAATCATGATCACTACTGCACTTCAACATTGTGCTGAATGTACTGATCAGTAAGACGAGAAAAAACATCATTCTAAACGGTGACTCTACAGTTTTTACATTAAGTTTAGGAACAAGACAGAAATGCCTACAATTACTATTATAGTTGACATTTTTTTGAGGATTTAGCAAGTGGAGGAAGACAACAACATAAAGCAATCAGTATAATTATTGTAAGAGAAGTAACAATATAATTGTATACTTAGAAAAACCAAGAAAGTATAGAAAAACAATTACTAGAATTAATGAGCTATTTTGGTAAGATGGCTAAATACAAATCAAACATTAAAGAAATAGCTTTTCTACGTTAGCAATAACCAGAACGAAATGGATATTAGTAGCATATTCCACTTACAATAGTGACAAAAGTCTAAAATATTTAGAAATAATTTAATGCAAAAGGTATAGAATCAATATAAAAAAAACACTACAAAATCTCATCAAAGAACATAAGACAGACATTTAGGTTCATAACCTAAGTGTCCATCAGTGGATGAATAGATAAAGAAGATGTGGTTTTACACACACACACACACACACACACACAAAATGGAATATTAGCCATGAGAAAGAAGGAAATCCTGCCATTTATGCCAACATGAATGGATCTTGAGAGCACTATAGTAAGTGAAGTCGGACAGAGAAAGACAAATACTGTATGAATCACTTATATGTACACTCTAAAAAAGCCAAACTCATAAATATAGAGAGTAGAATGCTGGGGGCTGGAGGAATTGGGGAGATGTTATTTAAGAGTAAAAACTTTCAACTAGTAAATAAATCCAAGAAGTCGAATCCGCTGCATAGTGATTATAGTCAACAATACTATATTATAAACTTCAAAGTTGCTAATAGACTAGATCTTAACCATTATCATGACTAAAAATAAATGATAATTATGGAATAGAGGTGTTAGCTGATGCTATGGTGGTGATCATTTTGCACTATATAAATGTATCGAATCAATTTGTTGTATACCTTAAACTTACACAATGTTATATGACAGTTATACCTCAATTTTTTTTTTTTTTTTGATACGCGGGCCTCTCACTGATGTGGCCTCTCCCTTCACGGAGCACAGGCTCCGGACGCGCAGGCTCAGCGGCCATGGCTCACGGGCCCAGCCACTCCGTGGCACGTGGGATCTTCCCGGACCGGGGCGCGAACCCGTGTCCCCTGCATCGGCAGGTGGACTCTCAACCACTGTGCCACCAGGGAAGCCCTATACCTCGATTTTTAAAAAAGAACATAAGATGATACCCAAACAAATACTCAAATCATGTCCTCTGATGGGAAGAAGTCACATCATAAAAATGAAATTTGTATAAATAGTAATACAAATTAAATGTGATTTCAATTAAAACCCAATAGTATTTTGTAAATTGAGGTAAAATTCACATAATATGAAACTCACCATTTAAACCATTTTAAAGTGTACAATTCATTGAGATTTTTAGTACATTCACAGTGTTGTGCACCCATCACCCCTATCTAGTTCCAGAACATTTTCATCACTCAAAAAGGAAGCTGTGTTCCCATTAAGCAGTTACTCCCCATTCACTCCTAGAATCACTAATCTTTCTGTCTCTATGGACTTGTTTATACTGGACATTTCATGTAAATGGAATCATAAAATGCATGGCCTTTTGTGTTTGGCTTCTTTCACTTAGTATAATGCTTCAAGGCTCATCCTTATTCTAGTATGTATCAGCACTTCATTCCTTTTTATGGATGAATAATATTTCATTGTATGGATATACCACATTTTGTTTATCTGGTAATCAGTTGATGGACATTTGTGTTGTTTTCAGCTTTTATCTAGTGTAAATACTGTTGCTATGAACATTTGTGCACGTGTTTCTGTTTGAATATGTATTAGAACTAAGAAATGAATACACTAAAGTTGCAGGATACATGATTAATATACAGAAATCTGTTGCTTTTCTATACTCTAATAAAGAACTATTAGAAAGAGAAATTAAGGAAACAATCCAACTTACAAGTATGTCAAAAAGAATAAAATACCTCAGAAAAAATTAACCAAGGAGGTGAAACACCTATACTCTAAAAACTATAAACATTGATGAGGGAATTTGAAAATGATACAAAGAAATGGAAAAACATCTTGTGTTCTTGGATTGGAAGAATTACTATTGTTAAAATGTCCACACTACCCAAGCAATCTACAGTTTTAATGCAATCCCTATCAAAATACCCTGACATTTTCCACAGAACTAAGAACAAATAATCCTAAAATTTACATGGAACCACAAAAGACCCCCAAATACCAAAACAATCTTGAGAAAGAAAAGAACAAAGCTGGAGGTATCACAGTCTCTGACATCAGACTATACTACAAAGCTACAGTAATCAAAACAGTGTGGTACTGGAACAAAAACAGACATAAATCAGTGGAATAGAATAGAGAACCAAGAAATAAACCCACACACATATGGTCAAATAATCTACAACAAAGGAGACAAAAATATACAATAGAGAAAAGACAGTGTCTTCAATAAGTGGTCACAAAGAAAGAAAACTACAGGCCAATGTCACTGATGAACATAGATGCAAAAATCCTCAATAAAATACTAGCAAACAGAATCCAACAGCACATTAAAAGGATCATACACCATGATCAAGTGGGGTTTATCCCAGGAATGCAAGGATTCTTCAATACACACAAATCAATCAATGTGATACACCATATTAACAAATTGAAGAAGAAAAACCATATGATCACCTCAATAGATGCAGAGAAAGCTTTTGACAAAATTCAATACCCATTTATGATAAAAAACCCTCCAGAAAGTAGACATAGAAGGAAATTATCTCAACATGATAAAGGCCATATATGACAAACTTACAGCTAACATCATCCTCAATGGTGAAAAACTGAAACCATTTCCACTAAGATCAGGAACAAGACAAGGTTGCCCACTCTCACCACTATTATTCAACATAGTTTTGGAAGTCTTAGCCACAGAAATCAGAGAAGAAAAAGAAATAAAAGGAATCCAAATCAGAAAAGAAGAAGTAAAGCTGTCACTGTTTGCAGATGACAAGATACTATACATAGAGAATCCTAAAGATGCTACCAGAAAACTACTAGAGCTAATCAACAAATTTGGTAAAGTAGCAGGATACAAAATTAATGCACAGAAATCTCTGGCATTCCTATTCACTAATGTTGAAAAATCTGAAAGTGAAATCAAGAAAACACTCCCATTTACCATTGCAACAAAAAGAATAAAATACCTAGGAATAAACCTACCTAAGGAGACAAAAGACCTGTATGCAGAAAATTATAAGACACTGATGAAAGAAATTAAAGATGATACAAATAGATGCAGAGATATACCATGTTCTTGGATTGGAAGAATCAATATTGTGAAAATGACTATACTACCCAA